TCGCTGCCCAACCCGTTGGGCTGAGGCCACGTGGCCACCGCCCGTCCCCACGTGGAGCCCGAAGCCAGGAGGACCTGATCGATGGGCCAGGCCCCCACCCACGCCCGCCTCCCCGCCGCCTCCACTCACCCAGCTCCCCGCCGCCCACAGAGAAGTCCGTGTCCAGGATGGTCCACTTGACGATCCTGGCGCCGTCCGAGGAGGCCTCGCTGTTGATGGCCTCGATGCTCTGGCTGATGAAGTCCGAGACGAGCGGGTCGCGGTCGAGGATGATGTCCGTCAGCCGGGTGGGCTGGCTGCGGAGCTTCCGGCAGAAGGCCACGGCCTCGCTGGTCAGCACGTCCCGAGGCTCCCCCGTCTCGGAATTGATCTGGCACTGCCGGGGCGGGCGGGATGGCCGGGGCTGGCTGCACCACCCTGAGGCCGGCCCGGCCCGCACCCCACACCTGGGGCTTGCACCCCAGACCACCGCAGCCCCTCCTCTCATTGACCGGGTGTTAGGGGCCGGGACCGTGAGGGCCATGACCTCGGGGACGCTCCTCTTGGTGGGATGCCCTTCCTTGCCCAGGCCGGCATGGCCGCCACAGCTCTGGGGTCACCAGGGTACCTTTCCCCCAGGTGTGGCCGGCGTCCCGGAGGTAGGACGCAGAGCGGATGCCAGGTGCCCGACGAGCCCCGCCTCCTCTCCGGACCGCCGGGTTCCCTCAGGCCCAGGAGGCCCGAGGAGAGCCCCAGGCACCTTGAGCGTGAGGAGGGCGCACAGGTAGGGGGCGTCCTGGCCCACCACCACTGCATAGCGCACGATGGGGATGCTCAGCTTCACCCGCTCCTCGATGGGCGTCGGGTGGATCTTCTGGCCCGAACTAAGGGTGATGGTGTCTGTGTATGGGGAGAGGGCAGGATAGAGGGCAGGGGAGAGTAGGGGAGAGGGCAGGGGAGAGTAGGGGAGGGGGCAGAGGAGAGTAGGGGAGGGGGCAGGGGAGAGGGCAGGGGAGAGTAGGGGAGAGAGCAGGATAGAGGGCAGGGGAGAGTAGGGGAGAGGGCAGGGGAGAGTAGGGAATGGGGAAGGGGAGGGGAAGGGAAGGGGCAGGGGAGAGGGCAGGGGAGAGAGTAGGGTTACAGCTACAGTCCAAGGGGGTTCGGGGCCAGCAGGTGGTGTGGTGGTAAAGACACTGGATTCCCATATGGTCGACCACATTTAAGTCCTGGACCCGGAGGCTTGACAAGCACACCAGGCACGTGTGCATGCATGCTCAGAATCCCAAGAGGAGGAGGGGTTACAGTGTGACCACACACACACCCCGCCAGGGGAGGGTGATTTCTCACTTTCCCTCTGTCTTTCTCTCTCATAGCACAAAACAAAAATGTTTAAAAAAAGAT